TTTACGTAGTAAAAGTAATAAATTTACTTTCATATATAAATATTACTTTTATAATAAATAATAAACAAAAAATTGTTATGCGGTAGTAGAAGTATTAATGACATTAAATTCAGTTATAAATATTCTTATTCGAAAAATATAGTTTCTGATCGTCGTCGTACTGTTTTTGATGAAAAAACGATTTACGTGCCGTGCCGTTCCTGATAACAGATAAGGTTTCACTATTATCGTATAAAATCATTACGTAAAAAAATTGTAAGATCAATATGTAACATAAAATTCAAAAAAAAAAAAGAAGCATTGTTATGAGAAATCGACTTCGGGAACGCAATCTGTTATCATACACTGAATCTGTCGATTATTAATTAAAAGTTTATTAAAAAATTTGGATTTCAAATAATAAATCGATCTTATCATAAGATCTCAAATAAATCGTAATGTAAGCAAATCAAATCGTCTACTCGATTTTTGCAGTATATGTCGTACGTAAGTGGGAACGAGGGTTGGAATTTTTAATATAATTATTCCGTTCTAATCTAAGTGGATTCCAACCTGTTTTGATTTTATTCCCACTTACAACATATACTGTATATATACTAGGGAACAGTTTTAAAAAACTGTTATAAGTTCGGAGCGAATAAATTATCGAATATAGTCATGCATCAAAACGTAACTTTTAGTCCGCGTGCGGACAGACATCCTTTTCAACGTTATGTTCTTGATTTTTATCATTATGATGCATCAACATCGTAACTTTTGGTGCATCAAAAACGTAACTTTTGATGCACTTTACTCGTCCAATATATGTCCGGACAATAATTGAAAATTTAAATTAAATGCTGATTTGTTTTTAATAACGATAAATTATATTTTTACAAAAAATTTTAAAAATAATTATTAGATGGATCACTTATTGGTCAGATAGCATGAGATTAGTGAATCACGCAAGAAATTTGTTGACTTTTCATTGGGTTAATTCTGACTCCTCAAGTTGTTAAAATCGAGGCACCATCATAACTATTTCGTGTAACGCATTTGCTTTCTCTCACGATTATATAAATTGTTAATGATCATCTAAATTTTTCACATTTTCAAAATGTTACCAAACGAATGTTTTCTTGAAATATTTTATCATTTACAAAATGAAACCTTATTTTCTTGCCTTTTGGTAAGCCGTCAATGGTTTAGATTTGTGGCACCAATTTTATGGAGTAAGCCTTTAGAAGAATTTAGTGATGCAAGAATTATAAGAACATACCTTTCGTTATTAAATGCTGAAGAACAAGCTTCATTAATCCCATTTGAAATAATATTTCCAAATGGACCGAAACCATTGATTAATTATGCTACTTTTATTGTCTCTTATAAAGACTCTCATATTAGCGATTCAATAATAGATTGGATTAACAAAGAAGGTCATGGTCCTCGTGATTTGACGGATTACGAAGATGAATATTATAATACTGACTTGAATATGGTTCAAAAAATCAAATGTTTATTGATTTCAATGTTTTTACGAACAAGTGAAAAGCTTGAATCTGTAACTTTTAGTGGTCATGATGATGGTATATTCAAGAAGACTTTATTAGAAACCCTTTATCGAAACACAACTATTAAAGACATTTATCTTCATTGTATTAATATTGACCTTGATTCTGATGGTGTAAAAGCAATAGTGGATGCTCTTTTAAAAAATACCCCACTCGAATCCTTAAATTTTAAATATCTAAAGAGTCCTGAATGTGGAAAATTGTTAGCTGAGGCACTTTATGAAAATACCTCTCTTTCATCTTTGAAATTTTATGCTTGTCAACTTGACGATGAAGATGTGAAGGCATTAGCGAACGTTCTTTTTAAAAACTCCACACTAAAATTTTTGGGTCTTTTATAGTAAACTTAATGTTGAAAATGTAAAAATGCTGGCAGAAGCTCTTTGCAAAAATACATCTCTGACTTTATTAAATCTTAGTGGGAATTACTTTGGCTCCGAGGCAATTACAGTAGCCCTTTGTGAAAACACCTCTCTGAATTATTTAAATCTTGGAGGTAATCAACTTGGCGTTGAAGGAGTGAAACTATTGGCAAATGCACTTTGCAAAAACACCTCATTGACTTCTTTGACTCTTGATAATAATCAACTCGGTGATGAAGGAGGAAAAGTATTGGCTGAATTTCTTTGTAAAAACACAACTATTACTTCCTTAGAGTTAAGTAAGAACGAAATTGGTTCTGAAGGTGGGATAGCATTGGCGGGAGCTCTTTGTAAAAATACAACCCTCGCTTCTTTAAATCTTTCTAATAATTTGTTAAATGCTAAAGTAGGAAAAGCATTTGCAGTGACCCTTTGTAAAAATACAACTCTTATCGACCTAAACTTTTCTGAAAATCGCCTTGCTGATGAAGGTGGAAAAGAGCTGGCAAAGGCACTTTACCAAAACACTACGCTTATTTCTTTAGATCTTAGGGGAAATAGTCTTTATAAAGAAGGAGGAAAAGCATTAGCCGATGCTCTTTGTAATAACATTGGCCTTAAATCTTTAAATCTTTCTGATAACTTTCATCATGATGTAATGGAGGCATTAGCGGAGTCACTTTGTGAAAATTCAACTCTTACCACTTTATATTTCCGTGGTGATATTTTTGAGAATGAAGGAAAAGCATTAGCGAGGGCACTTCGAAAAAACTCATCCTTAACATCATTGGAAATTCTTCTCTGTCAACTTGATTGTAAAGATATTATAAAAGAAATCGTTAAAGCTTTACGCAAGAATGTAACTTTGACTACTTTGAATATTGGTTGTTCTTACGCACCTTGTTTTGAAAATGTTCATTATGACACTGATGATGATGAAGCAGCTGAGTCCGAAGCGCATGTCACATTTAAGGAAGTTGAAGATATGTTGAAAAATATTAGAAAGCAGATTAGAAAAGATGTTAAAATTATTTTGAATATTATTAAATAGTAAATTAAAAAATTTTTTTTATGTGGCAGTAGAAATATTGACGACATTAAAAATCTTAGCCATGAATTTTTTTTATATACATCAGATCTGAAGTGTAAGAACGACCAGATAATCCGAATTTTAAACTTAAAAATATTAATCAAATATAATCAAATATAAACACTAGATTCTTATTATACAATCAATTATTATTACACCAAATTTGTATTAAACATTTTGGAATTTCAAATAACAATAAATCGCTTACGCGAGCTTTCTGCAAACATCATTTTTTTGCAGTGCATAATCTTTGCCATTTTTTAAATTCGTTGACATTCAGGGTCCTTTCATTTGTCAGCATATTTAAAAACTTGAGTATACTTTATTTGTATCTGTAATACAAACCATTTGACGGATATATGGGTATCGGCAGGGATAATAGCAAAAACCACCCTAGCATCCCCAACCTAAAAAATTTCGCAATTGGGCCGAATTAGAATTTAAGATCGGGTGTAACATAAAATTAAACCAAAAATACCCAACCCCTAACCCTAACTCTGGTAGCGAAATTTTTTAGAGTGGTGATGCTAGGGTCATAGTCTAAACGATCGGCAACATGCTTAGCCTGGCACATGCTTTTATCAAATTTATAAGTGTTAAATTAGAACAATCGTGTATTAGTATATTTCATGCATCTTATTTTTTGTCAATATTGGAATTAGGGTAAGATTAAATACAAAATTTCTCAAGAACTTTTTTTTTTTGTTAGATTATTTTCAAATAAATTATTTTAAAAAAAAAAATTACCTTTGCATTACACCCGTGATCTTAAGTTTGATTGATCTAGCTAATGATATAACAAATATATATATCGATATATCGTGTATACGTATATGTAGTATGTACCAAAATAGAAATTCTCTTTTAGAAGTGCCTTTAGTACGCTATAGGTTATTTTTGTCTTATAGATAGTTATATGATGTATTAAAAAAGTAAAATTTGCTGTCCAAAATTTATATCCAATAAAGCATGATTGGACGTCCAATCCAAAGGCATCCAAGCGTCCAATTTGTATACGTACGTCTGCCCTAACATATCAGTGCAAGAAATCCAAAAACTAATTACGCCATATAGAGACAAAGCATGAACAGTGAAAATAAAATACAGTTGATACTGTCTAATTGCATACTGTTTAATTGCATATACTCTCTAAATGCATAAAAAATTTCGACTTTTAATTAAACTTTAATGCATATATTGTCTATATGCATAAAAAAGTCTCAGATGGATAGTATGCAATTAGGTAGTATCAACTGCACTATATTTATTAAATCGAAACCGGAGTTGCATTGCGATAAGCGGATTTTGGGATCTTTCATTTTATATACCATTGTTTTGACAATAGTATATGCAGTACCATGGGATAAAATTCGCTTCTACGTACAGTACTTAGCATAATCTGCAATGCAAGTTTCGATCAATAAATGGGATCTTTGCTAGGAAATAGAAAAAAATTCCTACGTAGCAAAGATCCCAAATATAGTACAGTCAATATTGTCGAATTGCATACTACGTATCCGTCAGAGACTTTTTTCATGCATATAGACAATATATGCATTAAAATTATAAGAACCATTTTTGCGTTAATAATTAAAAGTCAAAATTTTTTATGCATTTAGAGAGTATATGCAATTAAATAGTATCAACTGTATTTATTTTTCACTGTTCTTATTTTATCTCTATAAGGCGTAATTATAGTTTTTAGATTTCTTGCATTGTACGTACGTACGTACGTACTGTACGTACGTAGTTCTAAAAAAATTCTTCACTATAGCCAATCTTCACTATATCGAGAGTTCACTATAACGAGAGTGACTTGTATTTAGGGGTATATCATGTACTAAAGTTGCATACATCAGCTTCTAAATAAACGTATTAAGCGAACAGATCTCGGCTTAAAATATATATATATATATATATATATATATACAAAAATATATTTATTTGAATTTGCTTTTATAATTTTAATAAGTTTACATTGCTAATTACAATCAAATAATGGATAATAATAATGAAATTATTGAATCAAAAACTAAAGATCAAGAAACTACAAAAAGTACTAAAGAACAAGAACCAAAAAGTGCTCAAGAGGAAAAAATTGAGCAAGAAAGATATTTTTACTTAAATAAGCTGAATGATATTTTCAACAAACATCAATCTTTAATTACATTAAATCGTCGGTGTGTGTATATCATAATGATTCCTGTTATTTTGTTACCTACTTGGCTTTTTTTGACGTTATACAACAATAATGCGGGAAAAGTTATTGTGGAATATATTGCTAGTATATGAGGTGGAGTTTCAGCTATCGCTCTTATAAAAATTTTTTTTGATACTAAAAAAAAGGAAAATCAATATTCTGAGTATTCCAAAGATGTGGCTAAATTGAACGTAGGCATTTGCACGGAAGAATTTAAAAATATTTGTTCTTTTGTGAAAGACCAAACATTAATATTAAAACTTTATAGCGAGATTTCGTTAATTCTTGGAGCATTATTTTTAATCATAATAATCGTATTACTTATAAGGAATGTTATTTTTAACGTAAATTATGAGGAATGTGAAGATGTTAAAAAATGTCATTGTATAATTAATTTAAATTGTGCAGATCAAAATTCATCAGTTACATATAACGATCCAAAATTTAATTCTTGTAATACCTCTCCTCTTAATGAACTTAATGAAACTTATTATAATATGTTTAGCAAATATTACACATGTCAGCAATTAAATATTTCATGTTTGGGTCAGGAGAATTACCGGTATTGTTCTAATTTTATGAAATGTAATAGCACAATGGATAGTTACAACATCGAAGAAAAATGCAAAGAAATTAATTATGAGTCAATTATTAGTCAATATCAATCGCTAAAAGTCGCTATGCTTTTTTCGGTTTGCATTTTTTTATGAGCACCTTGCTTAATAATTTAATAATTTGTACTGACGACAAGAAGGCTAGGAAAAAGTTGAGTGAAGGAACTATATGTAGTATTATTATTAGGAATAAGTCGAGTGAAATAACTATATGTAGTATTATTGATGCTTTACTTATTATATTATTTTCTTATGCTCGAGAGAATGTCCGTTTAACACAAGAGGAAGTGGATAGTGTACGACGTATTTTAAACGGTTTAAATGAAAAAGATGAACATAAAAAAGAAAAAAATGACCAAATTAAGGAAGAAGAAAAAAATGACCAAAATAAGGAAGAAAAGGATGACCAAAAAAAGGAAGAAATATGTAGTAATAAAATACATGAAATATTATGTGAGGAAATCTCAATATTAGTTACCGAATAAGAGTTTGAATATCCAATAGCATTCAGATAATATCTGATGTTATACACTGGTCACTATATCAAGATCACAATATAAAGGAATATATAATATTATGTATAGTATAGAATCGCAAATATGTATAGTATAGTCAATAAATTAAAATATACAAAATGT